AACCTGAACTGCCTCCTGGCGGCTTAGGCCGAGCCTACACAACATATCCCTAATCTGCCTTAGTTAAGCACACTTCTAAGCGGCTTTTCGCCGCTTGCGCCCTCCTTTCTGCCAAGGAGGGTCGCGTCCGTATACGGCTTAGAGATCTCTAGTTAGACCGTTATGCCGGTCCCTAAAAGGTGGAGTTTAGTGGGTAAAAGTCTCCACATAACCACGCAGCCGGCTGCGTGGTATGCTACAAGCATTCCCCACCTCCCTCCCCCTCTATTATTTGCTTCGGGCGCAAAAAAATTGCTTTGAATCGGTTAATAGACTAAGCAAAAATATTATAAAAGTATTGTTGTGAGTGATACGTGCAAATAAACGTTTTACTAAGACATTGTTTTTCGTAACTATTTAGCAATTTCACACCAGCATTATTGAGAGAACTAAATTGAGATTTTGTTAATTGAGAGTTATTGTTTTGATATATAAATAAGGAACAATCTGTTTTAACAGCAATCATTAGAGCCTCGCTTATTACTTGAGCACGCTTGCCATGGCTCGGAATTCTAATTAGAAGTTAATACAAAATATATGACAATAGTAACATTGTATTAGAATTATAATTTGTTTATTTAAGATAATTATATTGTTTTACTTTGATTTTATTTTTCATTAATTTGAAAATACTATCAATTAACACTACTAACGTTATTTTATTATTATTATCTTTGGTAAACTTAAAATTCTTTTATTAGATGTGATTCACGCATATAATTAGAGAGAATATACTGAGCGTTAGCCTAACAAAAGTGATCATTTTGTAGAAAAAGACAAAGCGACTGTCCGGCAAATACCTGTCATTATAGCTGGCTATACATTTTGGCCGAGCAAAGGTGAGCACTAACGTATAGGACAGTCCACTTGTCCAGCCTCGCCATTGCTTGTCGACGCTCGCTTAGCTGGCCAAGTGCAGGCAAACGCTAACGTGTATACGGTTCGTTTGGAATACCTTGCTGCCACTCGGGATCACTCGCTACGACTTGTCCTCTTCGGAACAGTGTCGGTTTTTCTGCACAAATCAAAGGCGCTCGCCTGCACTCGGCAAGTAGTCTCCACATGTTAGTCGTCCATGTCAGTTACAGCTTGACGTCCGTCCCGGTGAGATATTGATTTAATTAAGTTGCAACTTTAAAATAATTTCTACAATGTCACTCTACATTAACGAATAATCTCAACACACGTGTCACACGCTCGCCTTCGCTCGGCCAAAATGTATAGCGGGCTTTACAGTGGTACATGCAGCGAAAAACGATACACTCCTGACTGCCATTGACGTGGACTACTTAGAATTCTAGAAAGAGGTAACTAATTAACGCACATTCGCTTTGTTTATCTCACACTTTTCGGTCTGTATTCACTGCTCAACTGAATACGGAATACACAGTCCATTCTCTCTATGTCTATGGGTTCACGTCAGTAACCGAATGACGGACCTTTAGAGTTGGTATCGCTGGTCATAATGGATAGACCATTACAGCATATAAAAGTCCACTTCTAAACTTAGTCCCTATAAATTGTTAGTTGCCACGCTTGGTGAGCGAGTTTTTGTTTGATTATTTCGACTTGTTACCAGGAAGATGCAGCTTCCCATCTCTAGTTTATGTTTTCATGACGATGTCAAGTCGTGGATATTCTTTCTCAGTCATTTTACTATAAAAAATATGAAAATCACTGAATACACTATTTGCGAATACAAAACGGATGTGCTATTAATATATAAACAGTATTGATCTTTTCTCCGGGCATCACCGAAGAGATTAATTTTAACCCTTGTATATATTATGCAAGTCACCGGGTTAAACTGTCGAAGGGATTGTTACGTGATTTATCTAAATTGAAATTTACTTTTATTATGTCGTAAAGGTAAGATATTTTTTTATAGAATAAGGGTGATAAACGAGCACACAATTCACCTGATGGTAAGTGTTGCTATGTTAAGTTAAGGTAAGCTAAGTTGCTATGGCTCATAAACATCCACATCTATCCTAAATTAAGAATCAAAATGCAGATGTGTTGCAAACCGAGGACTAAGATGAAATGCCTCGTTTCGAGCAAAATGGTGTCTCCGGTTCACGTTGTAAATATCACAGAGCGGCAGCAATATAATCGTTAATTAATACGTCAAGTGCTGATTATTACTGAGATAGACGCTGCTAATTTACATTTTGCCGCACTAGCCCACATGTGGCAGCAGTTCCCCATGCATGACCGACTGGCGCATTTTATAGAATAGGGTTAGCAGGTGGTTTGTAGAATAAACAAGCAGACAGTCCACCTGATGATAAGAGGATGCTGTGGCCCATAAACATCTACATCTATCCTCAATTAAGAATCAAAATTCGAATGCGTTGCCAACCCTGAGGATTAACATGAAATACTTTGTTACCAGTAAAAAGGGTCTTCGGTTCTCTACACTCACCATACGAAACACACAAGCATTGAGCTGCTGTGAGAGCTTGGTCCTTCTCCGGTCGTGCCGACCCATTTGTGCTGCAACGATAACGTAGCTGCAGCATGTGCTAGTCTTTTCTAACTGTCTAGTTTTTTTAAGCTACCCCGGCGTGAAGTATCGTCCCACCCTTACAAGATCACTAAGTTTCCTTTCCGCGCCCTGGCTTGTGACTCATTGAACCTCAACTCTCAATTGAAGGCGGTCGGTGTAGACCAAAGATTCATACCGAAAAGTAGAAACTAGGATGAACGCACGTTTTTAGGGGTGAAGAAACACGCTTTTGTTATAAAGGCGCTGATTCTCACATGTATACAAATTATAACTAATGTCTTCCTTTTGAATTTATGGAAGAAGCCTCTTACGGCACTGGACTTTTAATATGCTCTAATTAATGAATGGATAATATTAAGGGCGAGGTACTACGGCTCTTTTTTATTGACTATAATTCATCATTTATCTGGAAAATTAATTTAATTACAGATAAAATGTATGTTTAACTACCTATAGTTTGCACTAGACCGATTTTCATTCCTTTTATTTCTACTCCACCTTACAGCATTAACTATATTTTAACATTTATTTGACAATCGAACTTATCATCATGGCAAGTAGCTATCGTAGCCTATAGATATACGCATATACTCGTAACTTAATAAAATGGTATAATAAAGAGGCTGCACTAAAAGTATCGAGAATGGAATATTTCCACTGTTCCTGTCATATTAAAATCTTTTTAATTGAAAACTCCTTGGTTTTAAAAATCGAATACCATTTATTTATTAAAAAAAAAGATTCTCGATCTTGTCACAAGGTTTTGTCAAACTTGTTTAGTCGTTGAGAAAATGGAATTGACTCGAGAAAATTCAAGAGCGATGATTTATTATGACTTTCAAAGTGGTTTAACACAAAAACAGTGTGTTGACCGGATGATTTCTGCTTTTGGTGATGAAGCCCCATCCAAAACTACAATTTATCGCTGGTTTTCTGAATTTCAACGTGGACGTGTCAAGCTCAGTGATGTGAAAAACTGCAGTCACCCAAGAAAACGTTGATGCTGTGCGTAAGCTGATTGAGGAAGATCGACATGTTTTACATACCGCGAAATTCAGGCAACTTTAGAAATTGGCATGAGTCAAATACAAATAATCTTGCATGAACAATTAGGTGTAAAAAAGTTGTTTTCCCGATGGGTACCGCATTCGCTCTGTGAAGAGCAAAAAACGGCTCGCGTTACTTGGTGTGTCAGAACTCTCGAAAGATGACGAAGAAGCTGTGGACGCCTACAAAACGGCCATTTTGGAAACCCTAACTTCCGAATAGAATGGTTGCTTCAATAATTGGTTCCATCGTATGGAAAATTGTGTCAAATTTCGGGGAGAATACTTCGAAAAGCAATAAATACATTTTTAAATAGTAATGTTGTGTCACTTCCTTGATTCCCGAAATTTTCAGTGCTGCCCCCGTAATATACATAAAATATTATTATTACAATACGTATATAACTTGATAAATTGTTATTTAAAAGCTATTGGCAAGTGGCGGTGCAAAAACAGTGTAAAGAGCAATCAAAGCGCCAACTTCTTAATGTGAAATTATTTTATTATTTTACGTTCTTCGAAGACGGCTTATAATTTTCATTAAAAGTTAATGTTATTATTTTTACCCTTTAAGCAGACTAAGGAATATTAAAATCTTAAAGTCATTTAAAACTGTATCCCCTGTTTCACTATCCTTAGGGCTGTAGGGTTGAAAGAGGTGAATTTTTTACGGGACCACTTCTGAAGTATTATCTATCTTAATCAAAAAGTGTCACCAAAATCAGTAAAATTCACAAAAAAAAACATACGATGGAATTGAGAGAGAAGTGCTGTGAGGAATTGTTCGGACTAGTTCCAGTTGCTTATTTTCACCATCGCACATCGCGACAAGACTCACTATACCAGCCATTCTATGTTGATGATTGGCGGTCCACCACTGTCTGATTTATAAGAAGTTTTCTACCTAGTATAACTTCCTTGTAGAATCGACTGCCACCAGCAATTTTTCCGGACCAATACGACTTAGGGATCTTCAAGAAAAGTACAACGCACCTGCGATTCACCTGGTGTTTCAGTTGTTCATGGGCGGTGGTCAACACCTACCATCAGGTAAGGCGCTTGCTCGTTTGCCTCCTCTTTATAAAAAAGACTTCGCTTACGAGGTTGCCATTCGATAACCTTTCCTTCCCGTTGTTTGTCGGTTCTTCGGGCTATGTAGCTGGCCCATAGCTACTTCAGCATACTACCTATTCGGGCTATTTGGCCTAGGTAAACATATTTGACAAAGCGCACAATTTTAAAAGCATATAGCGGCTACATCATTGAAGTTACTTTATTTTGTCGTATACGTAGGTCATATAAACCTTTAGACTTTAGATTTAGACCTAGGCGTGTGACTGTGTTTCTTTTTTTTTTTTTTTTAAATATTTTCACTTTAAGGTAATGTAGTTGACAGCTTAACTTACCTGTGTATGCGAGTAGAACATTGAGAAGTTTGATACTATTACAGGAACCGGCAATGCAATGGTCAATACTCCGGCCAGTGCACACAGCGCTCCAACGAACATCCCCAAGTAGGTTTTCGGCGCCATGTCACCATAACCCACAGTGGTCATTGTGACAATGGCCCACCACAGCCCCAACGGGATGGATTTGAATTGATTTTCTGGATTATCCTGTAAACCAAAATTATAATTATAACTTCTGACTTTTATGTCATTATTCATAACTTGGTGGTTAAATGTTGCCCAAGTTCTTCAGTATCGTGGAGTGGCGTTTTCAGATACAGAACAATTATTTGCAGAACTATACCGTCAGATACCGTGAGATGTTTGACGTCTCAATGTCATACTTCAGCTTTTTAATACTTTTTTATATATTCAATCATTGGTATTTTAATAGTAACCGTCCCTTCAAGTCTACTCTACTATCTTAAGTATTATAGAAAATCATACCGTTATTTCATTGCTTGTAATAATTCATTGCAATTTTTTAAATAAAACTACGTTGATTTAGGTACACATATTGATTTTAAAGCAATTTTGGAATTAGTTATTGATGAAAAACACTAACCTTTTGGCAATGCTAAGCTATTTAAATTATCAGTCAAAACAAGATCTGCCTAAAATTGTACGAAATATTAATATAATACCAAAGTAATTATGTATTTTACCGATATAAAAATAATCATCATAAGTTCACTGCTAAACATAGATTCTTAGAATAGGCATTACTGAAAATAGGCCATTTTCCGAAAGAATACCAAGTATATAAGTACGTTCCTGATCAGCCTGCATCCATCCACTTCCTGCATCTCTTACCAAGTTGTCAAAATATTTGCTTTCCAATCCGTAATCGTCATTCCTATTTCATTTCTTAAAAAAACACAAGACATGTTATTATTTTTATTATAATATATTAGTATATTATTAATCAAAGTAAAATAAAAAGTAAACTAAACCATTATAAAATGTACAGTGAAATGTTGTTACTAAATGAGAAAATAAATTTGCCTAGTTCAACATCGTTACCCCGTTTTAGCGGCACGTAGGTTTTTGTTGGAGCGTAATTGATAGCCAATTAACTTAGGCCACGGTCGCTTTGGCTCCGCAACTAAATTTAAAATGCAGTTTCTTTTTTTTTTTTTAAATGTTTGCACTCGCACCGAGCTAAGCCATTCAACTATAAGTTTCGTAGTCGGATTCTCGTTCACGTTTCTTTCGCTTTAGGGGAGCTTAACTTGATGAATGCGGAGTATTTCTTAGTAAGACATTACTAAAATATAGTCATGTAAACGAATACGTTATCAGTTTTGATAAAGACCGTGGTTGGCTATTTTTTATGAAATTAAGTAGTTGTTGATTCGGTGCTCTTATTTTAATGTTCTCAATCACTGGAAACGGTTAGCATTAATGCACTAAGCAGACTACCTCGTTTTAATGTCTATAAGCTATTTATGGTCCCACATCACAAAAATAACCTCGATCTTATTTCAGTATTATCCAGAATGTTTATGTATACATAATGATAAATCTAGGTCATCTGATTTGGATTTTTTCAATGATAATTTAAATAATTTCAGAAAAAAAAAACTTTACATTATTTAGATGATAAATGTAAATATTTTTAATTTCTCGTGAATACCCAATTTTGTTACTGTACTACAATATTTTATGTTATTTAACTTTTCGCATCATTACTTTGTGTTAGCTGTGGTTAGAAGTTATAGGTATAGGTAACTGCTCAGTCATTTGCATGCACATTGCATGTTTCTAACAATGCTTGTATCTTGTTTCAGTTTATATGTACCATCTGTCGGTGACCCTCATAAATAAATTAATTAAAAGATCCTATCCAGGCAAAGTTGGAAGTAATATATTATATGACAAAATAATCAACGCCATCGCTACGGGATCACTGCTGCAGGCCAACGTGGTGGTTGTCATTCGCGAGTGCGTAGTATATAGGCGTGCACCATGTAGCCCACGTGAGGCAACCTGTTAGCCGCCATGACATAAACCTTTTCTCGAATCCCGTGGCGTCAACGCCATTATGAGAAACCATGACCTACAGAATAATTTAATATTTTGGGGAAAAATGATGTAAGAAATATGCAACTCACCTGCGATTTCTCAGCGTAGTAAACCAAACTGGCGAAAATCACGATGCCGAGCACCAGAAAAAACACTAGAAGTGTTAACTCCTTAGCAGATGCTTTGAACGTGTGTACTAATATCTTTAATCCTGGGCTATGCCTCGTCAGTTTGAATAGCCTAAGGATTTTTATTATTGAAATGAATTCCAAAATGTCCGCTTTATCCATGTTTCTCTTCACTACTGTTAATTCTACTACCACATCCATATAGAAGCTCAGGGTTGCAATAAAGTCTATTATGTTCACTGGGGATTTTATGAACTCTATTATATTTGGTGCTACCTGAAACAAAAATTTAACGTTTTTAAAATTCGGTAGCTGAAATATTTTTTAGAATAACGACGAAAAATGAGCAACTAATAAACCTGATGGTTAGTGGATGCTGGGGTACATATATATCTACATTTGTACTCGAATAAAAATCTAAATGCAGATGCGTTGTCACACCTGAGGACTTAGATGGAATGTCCAGACTACAGAATGAGTTAGATGGACTTTTATCAGTATCACTTTAATATTATAAAACTATTAGTGAGTGTCAGCACATCTGGACTTAATAGTAAAAGTAATGATGCATTTCTATATTTAGGCGTATAGTTTATAAGCTAATGCATATAGTATTTGTTGATACGAGAATACGTCCCCAATATTGGGCACAGGCCTAGTCTCATTTTTTGAAGGTTTCACCAGTGTTGCCGGTGGGGATAGAGCTCGATTTTCTCTTGTTTATTTTATTAAATGAAAGTGACAAATTAATAGTTCACCAGATTAAATGGCTACTGCAGCTCATTTACACTTGTAACCAACTTTAGATAAAGACGGCTATAGATACGTCGTCTCCTCTGAGGACTATTACGGTATGCCTCACGGCATGTAAATATACTGGCTCTCTAATTATTCCCTTCAGACTGGAATACAGCGTGTATAGGAAATTGTGAAGCCAAAGTTTATTTCTCTGAGCTACCACGGATATTTAAAATTTTTTTTATTTAACATTAACATATTCTGAAATTGATCTACCTAATCGGCCCCTCGTCTGACCAAACGCCATATTCTGGCGTCTCAAATAATATGCGCATCTGTCAAACACCATAATATGGTGTCGAGTGATAGCATACTATTTGTAAAATATATATGATATATATAACACACACACACACACACACATATATATATATATATTTTTCTGTTATGCATAATCTGATAGCTTATCTAATAACGTTTCCATTGATATATGATTTTAATACACTTACATAGCATATATATTATATACTTAGTATACTTGTTATTTACTTACTTAGTACTTCGAAAAGTGCTCGAAAGATACGCCATATTGGCCAAAATGACCCCGGCATTCAAGTGGTAAATATTAGTAGTATTTATTGAATAGATATTCAATTTCGTAATATGTTAAAGGAAAAAAATGTAAAATATCAGTGCCATAGGCTTCTATTCCGTTCTTCTGTTACACCCTATTTCTTCCAAGTAGCAAAAAAATCTAGTATGTGCAAAAAAATCTAATCTTACTTTAAAAGCAACTGCAACACAAGAAGTTTATAGAGATATTTATAAATTTTGCACAAATAAGCTCTCGAACAATGTTAGCAAAAGAGGCACATTATGTAATTCTTCAGAACACCTGTGTCGCAGATTTTGTTCAAATACATTTGAATCTCGAATACAGTACTTTAAATTTGGCAGTACTCCAGCGCATGAATTGATAATGGAGTGGCGGCCAACAGATTTACAATACTAAGTATATTCGCTTTAGCGATGAAAAAATTTGTTTGATTATAATTTATATCGTTACCATCATCAGTTTCAATTAAACGATAAGGAAATATCAGTGACCTTGAGATATTGAAATTTATTACAAAAATATTGGTTTCCTTCTGGGATTTTAACTAAGTAGCTAATGTGTAACAACACATCTTACGCAAACTAGTAGTTAATGTTGTAACACGTCTTACGCAAACGAAGCAGTCATTTAAAATTGGAAATATTTTTCAAACATATTTCAATAAACATTTTAAATTATAAATTCAAGGCACAAAAATAGCTGTACTTTGTGCCTCGCAGAAAAATTCAATACAGAAATTAATTCTTGCTTTGAGGTGTTTTGCAGTACAGAGATTTGCATTTCATAAAATAAGACCGCATAATATTTAAAATTTTCAATAATGTAATGATTGATTACTAAGGCTGTATTTGCACAATATTTAAAATCAAACATTCTCAATCAACATGACAATTTTAAATGAACATAACATCATCATCATCATCATCATCATCATTACAGCCCTTCACAAGTCCACTGCTGAACATATGCCTCTCCTAATGAATGCCTTTGTGACATTCTGACAGACAGCACGGTCCTGAACCACTTGCATCCATTGACTTCCCGCATATTTTACCAGGTCATCACTCCATTGACTGATGACCCTACACTTCGCCTACCAGTATGTACACAGCTATATGGCCGGCCTATTGCTATTTCAGCTTACGAAGACGTTGGGCAAAATCGGTAACTCTGGTTCTACTGCGGATATCCTCATTTCTCAGTTTATCACGCAGAAAAACCCCGAGCATCCTCATACAGCCAGCAGTGAAGAACCACGTCTCAGATTTACAAGTCATCACTGGCAACACGCACTGTTTGTATAATCTTGTTTTCAAGTTTTGAGGTATACCTGACGAGAATATATGTCGTAATTTCCCAAACACTGCCCAGATTTGTTGAATCCACCAATTGACCTCTCGGTCGAAGTTGAACTTACTTTATCGGACCTTTTTCCCTGGCGTGATAATATTATGACGTACTCGAAGTTGATGAATACTCGTCAACAACTTCAAGCTTAATACTCCCAAAAACCACTGGCATAGTTGTGACATGGACATTACATATGATATTTGTTTCTCATCTTAAGACCTATTCGCTGGGACACACTATTGAGGTAATTGAGCATAGTGCTTAGGTCCTCCAGCGATTCTGCCATAATTACTGTATCCTCGGAAAATCGAATGTGAGTGACGTACTCGAAATTGATGTTAATAACGTATCCTTTTCAGTCCAATAGCTTGAAAACGTCTTCTAATGCAGCGGTGAAGAATTTCGGAGATATAATGTCACCCTGTTTTACATTTCTCTGCAGTTTGATAAGTTTTGTACGCAGGTTCTGTATTCCGATGGCATTTTATGCCATCGTAGTCATACTGTACAAACACTTTAGCACTTCAATATACCGATAGTCAACTTGGCACCGCTGATGGGACTGTGGCACCGCCAAAATTTCGACGGAAATAAAGGAAAGCCTTATCTCAAAAATCTTAAATAAATCACATACGCAAGACAAATTGACAGATTGTGCTCTTAGTTCTTGTGTACAATTTGCCGAAAGGGTGTTTTTATAGAGTAAGGGTGACAAACGAGCTCACAGTCCACCTGATGGTAAGTGGATGCTGTGGCCCATAGATGTCTGCATTTATCCTCGATAAGGAATCAAAACGCAGATGTGATGTCATCCCTGATATGATGATATGATAAGATGGAATGCCTCGTTTCCAGTAAAAAAGGGTCTCCAGATCTCTACACACCACCATAAGAATTACAGCAGTACTAAACTGATATTTTACGCTGGTATTCTATGAGAGCGTGGTCCTTCCCCGTTTGAGCCGACCCATTCGTGCTACAACCATAATATAGCTGCAGCGTGGTTCTACCACGTTGTATACGTGGTACGTATGTACTGTATGATACTAAAGTCTTTTCGTCTTTTAAAAACAAACTTGTTCAGGAGTCTGGAAATCGTTAATCTTCTTGCAAGACTATTCGTAATGACCCTCAAAACGAGCACATAGGCGCGGCTCAGAAAGAAAATTGGTCTGTAATTCTTCAAGAGGGCGTTGTCACCTTCCTTGAAGAACAAGACCACGGCACTTCTGCTCCACGCCTCGGGAGCTCGAACTCGATTCGATTCCGGAGGACGGAATTAAAGAGCTTCTGAAGGACTTCAAGTACCGGTTTTCCACCCGCTTTCAGAAGATCCGCTGTAATTCCATCCTCGCCCGACCACTTGCTGTTTTTAAGGTGCTGGAGAGCCATTCTAATCTCGCTTAGACTGATGTCCGGGATATCACCGGAATAATTTCGGAAAAGATTTGTTCTTGAATCGTTACTCATACTTAAGTGTGGCTCCAACGATGGTGTTTATAGCTGCTCATAGAATCTCTCAATCTCACACAAAATCTCAGGTGTCCCGGAAACAATACTCCACACTCTGTCTTAAGCTTCGACAGTTGGCATTTTCTTGTAAACGTGTTGGAGCTCGATCGCTTTTTTAATACGAGCTGTATTGAATTTTCGTAATGCATTTGGAGATCTGTCTGTTCAGTTGCCAATATGTTGACAAATCTACTGATGACTGCAGCTTCATTCACCTTATAACAGCCATGAGATTAAGAATGTGATCAGAGTTTTCTTGTATTATTCTGCGGCAGGTCATGCAGAACTTAGCTCTGATAGCGCAGATAGTCTTCATGAGGTTGTCTTTTATATCGTCCACTATATTGCAGTCTTCTTGGTGCTGAAAACGGTTTTGTAATTCGAGCTGAATGTGTGTCAGACCCTGGATTAGCGCACGAGGAGTACGGAGCGTTGACTTCATTAGACAAAACCTGTACAACTTGACGTTTAGGTTTAGTGTGCCTCTAACCATTCGGTGATCGCTGCTAGTTTTCACCCTCGCGATCACTGAACAGTTGCCGTCTAGTTGTTATAATAAATTAAATCTTATTTTTTGTCGTACCATTGGGGTCGACCAGGTCCACCTCCTGTGGGGCCGCATTTGTAAGTAAGAGTTCATCATAAAGAGTCTCTCTTTCTTCACGAAGTCAGCCAGCAGCTGGGCCCTTGAGTTTTGTTGCGCTATTTCAAATTTTCCTACAGCTTACCGTTCTCTCTTGTGTCTAGTTTTGCGATAAAATCTCCCATTATCACCGTATGGTGGGTTTTGAAGGAATGCGTGGCTATGAAGATATCCTCATATATTTCCTCAATTTCCTCAGCAGGATGTGCCGAGGTTGATGGGTAAACCTGGATGACCTTCAAAGAATACTTTTTGGTGATTCTTAATATATGCAAACCTGGTTGAAACACTCACAAGATTTAC